TAACTCTAAGAAATGATCGTTACATTTTAAATTGGACCATTTTGTGGAGAAGGAATTGTACAAAAGTTGATAAAACATTATTTTTGAAATTGCTATAATAATGTACATAATTTGCTTTTGACAAGTGGAACAAAATGACAGTATTAATATATGATAATGCGATAATGCGGATACAATGCAATGCGGAGTAATTTTGAGTGTAACGAGTTTCAATTAGAATAGCCAAGCTACAAATGACGAAGAGCCCTTTCATGGTTATATTAATATGCAAATAACAGTTTACACAACTTAAAGCTATTTTCGATATTGCTTTGGTGTGTGTTATTAATTTCTTGTTATAGCATATATAATCAAATACAATATATATTTATGCAAAATATAACCAAAATCAAAACAGAAAGCAGAACGGAATAGATGTCTTAAAATATTAATAAATTATTAATATTTAAATAAAATTAATATTTAAATAAAAATATTAATATTTTGATTATAAAAAGATGCTGCCATTATTGCACATAATATATTTTATTATTTATATCATCTGTAGCATTCAACAAATTTGATATGTTCATATATAACCCATCGAGTCAAACATTTAAGTTTCAAAGAAAATATTAAATTATCTATTTTTATTTATAAATCTTTTCTTTTAATTCAAGAATAAATAATGCAATAAAAAATATAGAATAAAATCTGAGCAGAATATAAATTACACAGTGTTTGAAAATACACTGAAAAAAATGACTAAATTAATATACACATTTAATTCAATACTGTCAAATGAATTATTGATTTAAAACAAATATTTATTTTGTTTTGAAAAAGATTTTCTTATATCAAATAAATATTATTAGTTTGAAATAAATGATTGATTCGACGGTATTGAAATAAATACTTATAAGAACTTATATGAACTAAATTTGTGTTCAGTGTATCGGTAATAATATATTTGGATTGAAATAGTTTAAATTGTAATTAGTTAACTTTAAAATTTGTAATAAAAGTTGTTTGAAAATATAATGAGAGACGAAAATATCTATTAATAAGTTCCAATATATACGAGTAGAAAATAAGTTCGCGATGGTCATCCAAGCGAAGCCGCGACGGTCGCCGATAATTAAAACGCAACCACTGTAACGTCCGCATTGACATTTGCTCCGACTACTAGCGCAATCCGGCAAAGGAACGTTTCGATCTGTGGCAAGTTTCTCCGCAAACGTCTCATCTTCTAATTACTCCTTTAAAATAGTCCATCGTGTGGTCGCTATGATGTTCCAGCACTGATTTTCGTTTGCAAACGGTGCACGCGGTACCAGTATGGCGCATAAAATGTGATTCAATGATTCCTAAAACCTTATGGGCTCTAAAAGTAAAAGGATACGACAGGCAAACGACGCACGAAGTAAAAGACGCGCTGTCGTAAATCTATGAAATGACAGATCAAGGAAGATAATCTATTCCTGTGCGTTTAATGAATTACGTTTTCATTAATTTCACTGATTTCAAATATATAAAATGACATTTGAAAATATTGATCTTTATATCCCTGACGAATCAAATATTCAAATATCAAATTTTTATAGCTGACTTGATTATTAAAATGCAACATTTCGTATTATATAAGTTAGATTGCAATATTTCACGTTATAAATCAATAGATTTCAAGGTGGAAAAATCAAATGAAATTTTAGCAGAGAAAAATTCTTCCCTCGAAAATACGTCTTTAATGCTGATGCATACGTTTTTAGAACTACCTCCAGCACTTTAATCTCGGTATGGAGTATCGCGAATGCAATATCGCCCAACATTACGATACATATATACGAAAATATACAATACATTCCCGTCTGTTCATTGATTTCCGAGTAACTCGAGATATTGATGTCTGAACACAGGCTGGGCATCACAGTTTCCGATCTAATTATGAATGCGCCAACAATACCGGCGTATTCGTATTCATATGTTCTCTTATTGTATTGCTCGAAACGCAACACCCGGAGAGTACGAATGCAGCTTTACGATGCAACTGGGTAATTGCGTCCGTATGCCGATATCGATATTAATTATAACTGAATCTCGGACACGAGTATGTTGTCCATTCTGAATGACCATCTGCTCGCTATCATAACGAGTTTAATGCGTACTATCCGCGCCAGTCGAAAGTAATATCGATCGCGTTGGTATAGATGCGAATTACGAAGGTTATAACACGTTATCGTAATGATAAAAGATATTCTATTGTTATAATTGTTTTTTGGCGATATTAATCTCTATATATAAATTTAACTTACATTCGAACACAACACAGTGTAGTATTGTTGGGATAAAATCTCTTATTTATTGAAACTCACCGCTGAATCAATTGTGTATTAATTTGTTTATTAAATTGATAAAATATTATCTACTACATTAAGTGCTCTTCGACTGCATTTATATTAAATTATTGGATATTAGATTTAATTAGACTGGAGCGCCCAAAAGCAGCGATTCATTAACTTTAGAGAGGTTACGGCGAGGCATATTTTACGTTATAAGTAGTTCACGTGAATATCGAATATTATATATATATATATATATATATATATATATATATATATATATATATACTTATATATTTTATTCGACATTCACGTGAGTTACTTATAACATAAAATAATATCTTATCATAATCCTTTTAGAGTTAATGGATCATTACTTTATGCTCTAATTAAATTTAATATCCGATATAATAATTTATTAAATGTATCGCAGAGCGATTGACATATATGTATTTAAATGACTATAAGAGAGCTCCGTGTGTGAAGTGGTTCTTTAATATTCTTATTAAATTAAAAATCTCGGTAACCTAAAGTAGTTACAGAGGTCACGTGTACTAGCTTCATTATCGTGTGCACATTATGCATGATAAAAACTGCAACGATAAAATAGCGGCTTGAAGCTTAAATAAGGCGGTCGAAAATTAAAACCATATAATATTTTTTACTAAGAATTCAATGAAAAAATTCTCTACAAAATTCTCTAGTGAAATTTATTTTTCTTCTAGGAAAATTTCGTGAAACAATCATGAAAGCTATTAGCAATTATGAGTGATTACTTGTTGAATTATTGAAAAAATAAACGCGATGAATAAAGTTTGAGGAAAAAAATTGATAATAAAATTCTATTTTTTAGTAAATTTGAAGTAAATTTTTGATATATAGAATTTTAATTAAAAATAAATTACAAGGATATCGAAATTATTTTATTTTGTTGTCTGCAAAAATTGAAAATAAGGTAGAAATACTACGATAAAAAATCCTGAAAAAAATGATTAACTCTTCCTAAACCTTTCGTAGACAGATTATCATTATGTATACTGAACTTGAATTTATCGACTTGACATCCATTGAGATTCTGTATTGTGCGCGCGGTCGATATTTGAAGGAATAAGCGTCGGGACTTTGAGACACTCTGTATCATCTGACAGACAAAGGGATAGGCATATCCCAGAATAGCTGCACAGATATATGTATTAATGCAACGGATGCATAAACCGCGGCGATATAGCGAGCAGCGTAATCCAAGAACGGTCGTACTCGTAAACAAGCTTCCGCGCGAGGGTAGCGGACGCGCTTTCAGAGAACGCGTACTTTGACGGCGTGATGGCCGATGTAACAAGGATTTGCAATGGTAACGATGGTGCTTCGTGACCTGTAAAAGCTCACGAGGGTACGCACTGTGCGATAGCACACTCGTGTTAATATACTACGTCGAGAACGTGTGTGAGTCCCTTTGGACGAGTGATGACAGATAGAGAAAATTGAGAGTTTCTGAAACTACAATACATTATAGAATTTCTTTCAAGTCAATATAATAATAATAATAATAATATTTAAAGAGTTCTTATCAAACCCTCTTTAAATCTTTTACTTCTAGAAAAATGAATATATATGTACATAAGTGTCAATAGGCGAGGGATGTGCTCGAAAATAGGTGGTGCATTATAACGTTAATATCACTGCATAACAATGCACAGGTAGAAAAGAACGAAATGCCGAAGCTTCAGTATGTCAGAGATTCCGAAGTAAAACCTACATAGTTCTCCACTTATATTTTTTCTTTGCATTTAAATTCTTCAATCACAAATGTATATTTGTAAATAATTAATTTACTCGCATATTGCGTTGCCCGTTTAATATTTCTCCGGGGTTCTTTTTTTTCCTGTAAACTTCGCTTTTCCGAGGAGCACATCGGCATATCGGCAATCGAGTTCATGTGCTACGTGCAAATATGCTTCTCGATATAAAAAAAATAAAAAGACCTTTGTAGTAATTTAGAACGAGGACATTTGCGAAGTGTTTCCTTGACCTCGGCTGCTTTCGTGAATCGGAGATATTCGCGAAAAGCTAGATTAGAAAGCAAACTGCGACGTTGCATCGAACGATTATTTGCAGCCTGCTTGAAACTCGCGCAAAAACTTCTCCGAGTGCATTCCCGATTTAATCGGATATTTCCATCGTCACGATTCTTTACTCGATAATGGAACTAGATCGTATTTCTTTTCCTTGCATTATTTAACAGACACGTGCGTTCAAGTGTTGCCCTTTACGAAGGTTTTGTTCGTTCTCGAGTAAAAACGATTAATTTAGAACCGTTGTAACATGTTCCAAGATCAATAGTCGTGCATGTTGTATAAATTCACAATTTTCGTTTAAATCGTCTACGTGTATTAAAAAGAGACAAATATTCATTCTAAATAGAGGAAAGCGGATTTTTCGGAAATTAATTCGTGAAACCACAGTAATAACACTTGTTGGTACAAATTCATGATATTTTAAAGTGGGTTAAGGTGATTTTCTTATCGGACAGTGCTTATATACAGTCTAAAATGAGAAGAGTTCTCTCTTTTGTAGCTCCTGCTCTTGCTTGTTATCAATAATTAATAATCGCAACGAGTGTGCGTAATATATAGATATTTGGAAAGAACAGTTTGATCGTAAATGAGAAGAACATGTACTCACGAGATGCGAGTCCCTAGTGGTGAACGTGATCGGATCTGAGGCTTTTGGCTCACGACAGTGAAAATCCATCTTTCCCCAAGCCGCAGCACCTGCTGCTCCGCTCCTGGCCGCTTCGATCAGTTCCATCTTGATTCCTTCCGCAGCGAACTCCACCTGCGAGCACAATAAACAGAGTGACAGCTAGTATACACGATAATAAATGGTGGAAAAGGAGCGAAAATACAAATTTTAGTTATCATTTTTTTTTATCAACTGATATCATTAATTGCCATAAAGCGAGACAGAAAATTCCGCGAAAGCATTTTCGTTGCAAGTACTTCATTTAAATGTTGCACAAGAATTGTTTAATTTTTTTTTTTTAATAAATACTCTTCAATTTGAGTGTACGCTCCAAGAATATTTGCGAGAATATCGCCAAATCTCGATCTTCTACAATGGCTCCTTTCTTTATCGACAATGATATAAATAGTTATAGCTTGCTTTTTCAATTCTTCTCAAAAGAACGAATCAGATAAGCTAATGACACATCATTTATAAAAACTATTTTGCTTTTAGCCATAAAGATTACTGGTTATCGTCAACAGAGGCACGCTTACTACACATTAGCCGAAAAATATATATTAATTTATATATCAGATCTGACTTTCTCTTGTATGTATATATTTATTTATATGACTGCAGGATTGAGAATTTATACATAGTTATGAAGTTATAGTATTTCAAAGAATTTATATATAATGTAAAAAAAAAATTTCGATCTTATTTCCTTTTCAATCTAATAATGCTATACACATATAGTTGAATAAATAGGAAGCTAAGAATCTTACAAATCGAATTCTGAATAATTTACATATCGCGAACTTGCGCATGCTCATAAATAAAACTCGCAAACTTACGCAAACAGTCAGCAAATTACAGTCGTCGTTAACCTTTCGGCTACGCGAAGTGCTTTATATTGCAACGAGTTTTATCGCTTTATTCGCGTTTTTTTTTGTCGCCGCCCATGGCATGTTAGTTCGACTTCACTTCTCGGCGAAACTCCCCAAGTAAGTTGTTGGCATGAATATTTCATTGCGTTGCGATGACCAAGTCGACACCTCGTTGCGTCTGGTGGACATTTTTATTGATCCGTACAGGAAGTTTGTATGCATCGCTATCGATAAGAAATAATTCCGAGGGTCCGAAGGTAATAATATAGTAGCACTTTGTTAAATAACTTTATGTACTTAGCGAATTAATAGGTATTAGGTTTAGATGTATATTTTTTTATACAAGACACTCTTGGTTATCTTAATTTTTATTGTTACTGAGATAATTCTATCAAAAAGTTTAGATTAATACATTTCGATGAAATTTAAATTCTTTAGTTTGTTAAAAAAAATCAATACTAACTATTCATAAAAAATTTCTAGAATTTTTCGTACAAAAATTGAAATATTCTCTATAATATATATTAATAATAATTAATAATCAAACTATAAATTTTATTGTATATTTTTTAAGTACTTTGAAATTGATTACTTTTTTCTTATCAAGAATGTAAAAGTATATTAATATTCATAAGCACAGATGAAAATTGCTTGTTACTAAAATTAAATTGCAAACAGATAACAAAATATTAATGATCATTTAATCTTCATTGGATTTTAACCAGAGAGCTTTTCAACAAAAATTTAATTTGGAGACAGAATTTATTAATATATTTAATTGTATTCGACATAATTAAAAAATAGAATTCTTCTAAATTTTTGACGCAGAGAAATCAACTTCAAATTCGTTAAAACATCAGATACAAATTACAAAAGTTATATATGTACATGCAATTTTCCTGCGCGACATTTTTTGTATTACATTTTTGTAATTAAAACATTTTAAAAAGGCATCGTGTAACCAAACTTTGAAGAATTAACAAACATTTTTCCGAATTTGTTTCGTTTGTACAGCGCTAACAAATCTCATTATTTTATAAGTGTATCATGTTACATTCTCTTCCGCGTGTGTATATAGCAACCATCTTTTTAATTAAATTTATTACAACGTAGAATGTTTAAATGACATATACACTCTCGAAAGGACTCAGAGAATTTATGATCATTACACATGTTCTCTCTACTGATATTGTCTCTCGTGAAAGATTCAATGATACACCATCGCGATTCACCATCGGCAAATTAATTAATAAAATTTCAGAATAATTATCGTTCGAATTGAAAACTGATTCGACTAAAAAGACCATTTAATAATCACAATGACAAATGGTACAGTTTATTTTTCAGCATTATTTTAGCATTTTATATATGCAATTACAGAAAATTATTCGTTTGTATGATAAGAATAGATAAGAAAATATATAGACAATTGATCTTTAAGTCATTTCTATATTGATATGAAATAAAAAAATGAAAAATATACATATATCGTTAGGTGTGCAGTATGAAAATATCAAAATAAATAAATTATATTTTAATAGATAAAGATTGATTGTGTGCAAAACTTTTATTGTTAGTTGATTCTTTTCAACGAAAATGTCGAGGGTCATCGCTTAAACAATTTCCCAACAAATTATAGATTTGTAGAAAGTAAAGTGCATTTAAAACTAACTAAAGAATAGTTTTGATTTTGATATATTTGTTTTCTCGGGAAACTTTATCTATACATTTTATATCTCCTTATTGACTCCTTATTATTCTTTACTTAATAATTACTTTTTTCAAATATAAAATCAACCATTTTATATTATCTAGGCTATCGTTTGACGCTTTTTAAACTAATGTGTCAAAGTAAATATTTGAAAAATTTGACAGAGTTGCCTTGCATTTTATACTATTTTCTTGGAAAAGATTAATTTGATTTTTTTCTAATCTCCGTAAACATTTGATATCGAAAAGGTTAATGATCTCTATCACGCTTTATGCAATTTTCATTAATTTATTTCGAGACTAAGGAAGGAGAAGAGACGGTGAAAAGTTGGGGAAAAATATAAATAAATCATGCTATCGCGCGTGTAACCTTTCTCAGACATCCAACGAAGTTGTTGATCCCTTTAGCGCCCTGCAAGGATCTCGCATCGGCGCCTCCACCGACGAGAAGTCGATCGCTTGCTAAATGCGCGAACGATCCTGCGGTATGTCCGTGCTCAGCGTAAATCCCATCGACAATAGCAGAGAGCTGCAACAGAAAAGACAGTATCTTGAAAATTCCATTTTACGGTAAATTGGAAAATTCATTATTTTATTTACTCGATTTATTATTACAGTTTATTTTCTACACAGAAAAATAAATTGTTAATTTGATTAAACATGCATTTAGTTAATTATAATTTCTTCAGTTAAAATATTTAAGTATTATGTCCGAAAATCATTATTTAACTTAAATATTTCGATTAAAGAAACGATAATAAAAAATGCGCATTTAATCAAATTTAATAAACTATTTTTTCAGTATATATAATTGATACATATTTTTGAACTCATAAATACGCGTGCATTTTATTATACTTTTGTGTTTGCTTTTTACTGTGTTTTCGAAATATTATTCCATGTTTTCCAATTTTGTAAATGTAAATGTTTTTTAATTTTCTGTCTACTTATACAAATAAATCGTCCAAAGTCTATATATTGCTTCTAAATAAAGATTTGTTAATTTTTTTTACCGAACAAATAAATTACAAGTGTCGTTGTGGTTTGCGTTCGAAGAAGATAACTGGTATTAACCGCAGTATCGCTTCGATTTCTAAAAAAGGGCAGGATAAAGTTTTCAGAGCGTTCATGCGGGTATGCCATAAAGTTTAACATTTAGACAATCGCCGCTCTTGAGGAGTGGTCCATTACGACTTTAGCAATGGCGTCGATAGTCGTTATCTCCCGGTTATTCTCTTCCTTTTTCGTCCATCGTTCTAACTAACAGGGAGGCAGACATGGAGGAGCGAACAGGGTAAAACGTTAGAATGTTATGTCTTCCCGGAGGCACTTAATCGAGAGGAAGATACTATCCTCTTACGACTCTTCATCTTCACTTACCACACCAGGGCTGCCGCGATGCAAGTGTACAGATTTCCGGTGGTAAAAATGTAAGCCTAGAACTTCCATTTTAATTGCCCAAAGACAAATTTTAACTTCCAAATAGATTTTAAATTTTATAATAATGAAGCAGAGATGCTAAATAAATAGAAATTTTATAATAAAAGAATTTAGAAATTTTTTTAGCTTTAATATTCAGAGTTCGGAAATGTCAGATTATGTAGAATCTATTTCTGATTTCAAATCTATATTTGAAAAAATAGAATTTATACTCTTATGTTTCCGGTTTAAAATCTATAAAATAAGATATGTTACAAAAAATGGCGCTCTAAAATAAGATATAAAATAATGTCAATATAAATATAAAGTGGTTTCGTGAAAACAAATTAACTCATCGATTAGTTTAGCTTGAAAAAATACGATGTGGAGCATTAAAAGCTCTGGTTGTTGTAGAGCCAGCCCTGTCTGAGGCTTTTCTTCATCGTAATTAGGTAGCTCTCTTGTCGAGAGCGCTTCCTTGGACCGCAGTTGAGCAATCTCCTTCATAATCCTCGAGGCCTTATCTCCGATGTTTCTCAGTGAACAAATAGATCCCGCACTCATCGTGATAAAATTAAGGAACTGTCTGCGAGTAAGCGGCGTTCCACACCGCTTTGCATAAAGAACATAAAGATACGTTATGCAAATGCCTTACTGTCATTATTACAGAGAAATGATTATATCTAGTTATGGGAAAATTTAGTTTAATAGTATCGAGAGAGATTAAAAATGACACAGTTAAGTTTATATAACTTTAAATTGTGCACTTTTTATGCGCGTAATATATATTTCACGGAAATGATTCTCTTATATACATTATACAATTAAGATAATTGTTTACATGATCGAGTAATAAATGGCAAACCATTATTAGCCAAAACAATCATTTATTTTATGTCAATAATGAATTATTCAATGTTTATTATGCGATATATATGCACCTGTAATTATGTTTGCTTTTCTATTATTTATCGTTTCCTCTTATAGAATCACCTCGGCAGATAATAAATTATATTTGACGATGAAAAGTACATTTTAAATATGAATGGACGTTAGAAATTTTACATTTTGCACAGGGATCATTATGGCAGTGAATTGGCCCACTTGGCATCTTACTAATTCAGGTGGAAATTTAATTAAGCCGAGGTAAATCAAAATTCGCAGCTTTGATTCGAATCGGGACACCGCAATAGCTCGCTCTATCGCGGGGAAGGAATTAATTTTCCGACTTAATTAATTTTCCATCTTCATTAGTTGTTTCTGGACTCACTGACTCGTGCTAATGAACATCTTAAACATTTATAGCGGTGTTGCAATGGCAACTGAACTAGCAAGCTTTATTGAAACCATTTTCTCGCTCTAAAATTGAGCTAATGACTACGCGATAATGTTGCTACCATGTATTTTATTAATTATAACAATTCAATAATATAATAAATCTAATGCCATATATTTTTTTAAATTATAGATAATAATACGTTGGACATAAATTTCCCGGTGAAAGATTAACAGATACATGAAATAATACACCAATTTTTAAATGTTAATTAATATGAGCAAAGATCTTACATATTTTTTCTTACACAGTTAAAAATGTGTGTTAAATTTAACAGATATCACATGTCCCAAACGTTCCACAGAAATTTTTGTGTTAATTTAACATAATATGGATATGTTAAATGGATACATAAATATTGTGTTAATATTTTAACACAAAATAAATGCAAAACTTCAAATAATTTAAAACTAATTTTGTGTATAAAATTAACATGGTTTTAATATAAAAATTAACTAAAAATATGTTAATTTTAGATTTTATCATCCCCACTTATATTGTAAAATAAAAAAATCAACATTTTTTTTGTAAATTTAAACAGATAAATCTTGTCACTAATAAAACAGAACACATTTATTGTGTAAAATTAAAAATAGATGCACATTATATGTTATTTGTACATTTTTGCAATTGTTTTAATAATTAATCATTTAAGTTCAATTAACACAACAGCAATATGTTAAATTAACTCATGAATGTGTTAAATATTTAACAGAAAAATTTTAACGAGAACCATTTTTAACAAGAAAACACAAAATTTTCTACTATGTAGATAATAATTATAACGTTGTGCATAAATTTCCCGATGGAAGATTAACGGATACATAAAATAATACAGCAATGTTTAAATATTAATCAAACGTAGGGAAAGATCTATTTTTCTTACCTAAATATTTAACATGCTTAAAGCTGATTATTTAGACTACTACATGAAGTGAAATTTAAATGAAAATGGCAGTAGCGAAAAAAAGCGCGTGCAAAGTCGATTTGAGGGAAAAGCAGGTCCTTTAATAGCGCCCCTTTTTTTCGCATCGTGATAATCGTGAACCGCCGAGCGTCAGCAGATATTCCTCGCTTGCGCGCACAATGTATTTGGGGCGATACAATAAGCGTAACCGGGAAAGTGGGCCGTAGACCCACACCGGAGGGAACCCACGCGCGAGAGGATCCCTCTTGCAGAACGGGTATGCTGATCCTTGTTTGACGAATATGGAGTGAACAAAGTGACAAGGGGATGGAGTAGACTATTTATTACATCCAGATGCGAGCTCTACTTAGCCGCTCATGGATGATGAGTATTGCGCGCATTTGTATGCGCCTGCAGTGCCGCGAGAGTGCATTGTGTTTTGTTGTCGTCAACGATTTTTATTGTTTCGCGAATTTATACCACGAAAAAACTTGTAACAACATATGTGAAATATAACAATATACCAAGTTTTATTAATTATATCAAAACAGTTTTTTCACTCTTTTCATATTATTATTATTTCAAATCAAAAATAGAAATTGAAAAATCATTCTCTTTGATGGAATCTTTTTAATACATGAGAAATACATATAATAATATAATTTGCAGATATAAGAATTCAAAGAATTAAATATTGAATAAAATAAAGTTATGCAAAAATTTAAAAAAAATGTGTGTTACGAACTTAAGTTGAATAACCAAATTAAATTTGACATCTTTATTAAAAGAAAGTAAAAATGGTAAGCGATTCTTGTATCTAAGATATAATAAAATTTAAATTAATCGGATTTATAATTACACATGTCAGATTTTTTTCTATTACATTTTTTATTAAAATTCAATAATGTAATTAGAAATACTCGATATAGGTACTAAAATGATAAATTTTACCAATTTATAATGCGTCCAATACTTTTAACATTTTTTATAGTTGATATTTATTTTGTAGTGACCCGTTTTTTATTGTATAAGAAAGAATAGAAATGAAAGCTGTGGAATGAATTTCTTTCGCTATTAGTTTCGTTTACCGATCATTTTTCTATATTACGACGAAAATAAATGATTTCTACATTTTTAACGAGATCGTAAATTATATCCGACACCATAAAAGACCATCCGCGGAATGAGTGAAAAACAAGAAAAGAGATTCGCGAGAAACTGAGAAAAACCGAGGAGAAACGTCATCGAATTTACTGGAGCATCGCGAGAACCTTAAGAGCGGTTCAGATTCAAACATCGAAGTGAAAAGACGGAAAATGTGAAAACTTCCACGCGTATACTCTCTCACTAGAGAAGAAACGGGCGGAGTCAATGCCAGATCTCTTGCTTTTTGCATCATGAATGATTTATTCTTGCTTTTTAGGACGATAGCACCAATATGACATCAGACGCAACTTCAAAGAAGAAGAAAGTTTTTATAATAATCGGATTCAGATCTCTATTTGTATTTTACATATTGCGCTTCAAATTGATATCGAAATCTAGAATCTATTTGTGTGATCGTACAATATCAATTGTACAATTTCGAGAAAATAGTTTTGCAGGAAATTAGAAAAATACTGTTTGTATAATATCTTTCACGTAATTTATACGTATCTATAATTCCTATAATTTTAATGAACCCATTAATTTTTAGCGCAATGATGTCTATAGAGAAAACATATACGAAGTAGATATATTATATAGCAAATAAAAAAGTAAGCTATATTGAAAGAGTTATTTGGTAAACTATTTTACGAGATGGTCGCATTCAGTTAATGGGAAATTGTCAGCGATAACTAAAAGAAGTAATTTACGTTTACGTGACAAGAAATTCTCATGATAACGTCAGTATTTTCTCGCGGACCGCGCCGTAAATTATGCAATCGATCGGTTTCGCGCCCGATTTGCATTTCAGAATCTTTTTCCAACTCCCCGCTTGTGAAAGCAGTCAAGTGCAGACTAAATGCATCAGCTGCAACTTTTTCTGCCATCGAAATCGGCGGTATATTTCTTTAAGATAGACAGACGAGAGAAAGTTCATCATTTAATGGAATGTTATTCCACTCACACGTCAATATTGTATTAACTAATTGATTTCTTATTTTCTAATAATGAAAAACATCAAATGCAGCAGACTATTTTTAACAATCTAGTTTAATTTTGTGATTCATAACATATCTTTTTTCAATTTATAGTAATTTACTAAATGCATTTTTTTTTTGCCATTATATCATATTAATTATATAAAAATAAAGAAGAAACTATTTTCATGCATTTTTAGAAAAATTTTAACATTGTTATCCAGATCTTTGTTTCTTTATTGATAACTTGACTATGTATCAAATTTGAACAGGACAAACTAGTAGTTTCTGAAAGCAGAGTTTGACTTATTCATTTTTCTTTTGTAACAATGCAAATAGAGAAATAATTTCGTAACTGTATTGCAATATATCTAAACTTATTCATCTTGCAATGTTTTCCACGTTGTAAAATATAATCACTAAATGTGAAATGCAAATAAACAAATCAATGAAAATTTTTACATTTACAATGAAAGCATTTGTAATTTGATGAAATGATAGAATTGCTTTTTAAAAAGTATTTTACAATTCAATTGAAAATTCGTGATTTATAAACCATTCTGTTTATCTCAGAAGAACTATGTAAGCTAAAAACATATTTTAGAGCTTAACGGAATTGAGTTAAAGTAAATAATGCAAAAACATTTGTCAACCTATTTCTGTATGCCACTCTCGTGGAAATACTTTCAATAAAAAATTCACACGGGATTTTCTTTCCTTCTAGAAACATAGTGAGCCAGACAACGCTCGCATGGGTGGGAGGACGAGACTCGAATGGAGATCTCGAGATCACTCGCGTGCTTCCGTAGAACATGAGTGGAACAATAAGGGCTGGAGGGTCTAAACGGATGGATGAATTCTTGTTAAAAATGTCCCGGCATTTTTCTCGGAGAAATGCAGACAACTTCGAGTCGCCCGTTGCTCAAGAAGAAGGTTTGGCAGGAAGGAACAAGGATATATATTGTACCTACAGAGGTACGGTGAATAAAACGCGGTAGGACGAAAGCAATTTAACCAAGCGGGACTTTAACGTTTGAAAAAGTTTAGAATAATTTATTTTTTTTTTTTCAAACAAATTTTATACCTTTTGTTCATATTTTTCAAATAATTCTATATTCTTTTTTTACCAATATAACGCAATATAGATTACCAGGTAGACAATATAAAATGTACAAGTTACGGGGTATAATTGAAACGGATTAAAATAAAATAAATATGTTGTTTGTTCAAATAAAGTAATATCAATTAGTAAGCGTGAAACAGCTTTGTGCAAAAAAAATACGCATGCACACACAAAAAGGTCGTAATTAATTAAATATTGCCAATCCAATTAAAACGACTGTAATATTCTTTGGCGCACTGTTTTTTTTGGTAACGTTTTGCATTGCTCTTAACAATAAGAGCGAGCGATCGAAGACATCAAAAGCTACAATATATATATATATATATATATATATATATATATATACGATACAATAAAAATCACACACTCACCCTGCAGAAGCTGGTTATTGAAGAGATCTGAAACAGAAAGCATAAACGTGCGATCAGTACAAAATGTCCGTATACATTTTACGTGAATGTGACACCTGAATTGAAATTCAAAAGTTGCCCCACGTACAGAAGCTCACGAAGCTGATAGCCGCAAGCTCACGAGCTATTCGAACTTTTTCTGTGGATTATCATAAGAACTTTTTTTCACGCGAGAATGGCTCTGTCGCTCGAGAAAAGGGCGCAAATGTATTTTACGTATTCGCGAAAACTTCAAACAATTTTCATTTCTCGCGAGAGAGAGACTCGTAGTTTGATGCACGAAGAAGAGCTAGATGAAGCGGAGCGAAACTTCAATTTTTTTTCTCCACGCAGAGATTTATCCAAGAATTTTATATATCTGATCATAATAACGTCAACAATAACAAAAATTTTTAGTTCAGGTTATATCTATATATATAAGCACCGTCTGTCTGTCTGTCTGTACGCGAACTACTTCCGCATTTGTGGACCGATTTTCGTGAAACTGTTACCAAAATGTTGCAAATTTTTCGGGGGTGGCTGCTGTGGGTTTTTTTTTAATTTTTAATTTTTAATTTTTTTTCTTAGAGGAGGGTATGTTTTTGCGAAAAATATGTTTTTTTCAAACTTCTATACGCCAATGTGTTTAGAATGTTCAGAAATATTGCAAAAAAAGATTTTTTAAGTTTAATGATTTTTTTTATACCTTCACTTACCCACCCACGCGCCACCCACGCACTTTCACATTAATGGATCGATTCCCTAGAAATTATTAATTAGGTATTAAATTTTTCTGAGAAGCTTGCTATTTTCTTTAATTAAATTTTACACTCACTCATGCATCTACCCATGCGCGCGCGTATTTATGGATTGATTTGCACGAAATCGGGACCAAAATTTTATAAACTTTTATGAGAATGGACCTATTTTCATTAAATTGGTATCAAAATGTTGTAATTTTTTGGGGATGGCAAGAATTTGGTTTTTGTTTTTATTTATAAATTTATTAATCGTTTTATTTATATTATATTATCATATATAATATATAACCTAATATATTTTTAATTAAAAAATTTCAATACTTGAAGATGATCAAATGAATATAAATCAATTTGAAAATACAATTATCGAAGAAAATAATATATCAAAGGAAATAGAAAATGTTATAATAAATGAAGCAAATGGATTTGAAATTAAAAGTATATGATACATTGATGAATACATTTAATATATCTACAGAAATTGAAGAAAGGTTTTGAGGACCGCGCGAAGCGCGGTCCGAAAAGCTAGTTAAAAATAATTTCAAAAGTGACTAAACAAGTATCTATGTTGATAGAAATGATTGTTTATTTGATTTATTTCTACTTTGGCAACTAATGTTTTCTTGCAAAAGTATTCTCTTTTCTCAATTTGATTTACACTGATTATAATATTTTCTTTGAGAGAGTTTCGAATAAAGATTAAAATTGCATTAGAGTAATGAAAATATACGAAATTTCATTTATATAAAATCCCTGCCATCAATGCGCGTAACACATGCGTGTGACACAAAGTGCATTTGCTTCCTAAGCGCAGGCGGTTTGTGCGCCTGCAGCTGTGTGCGGGCCTTATTAAGGAATCCCTTTGATCACGCGGCGATTAAACGACTGACAGAAGGGCAACAGCCCTTGAAAGAGAAAGCCGGTGACGAAGCGAACTCTTGCCTTTGTGCTGATCGCCTAGGAACGATCGCGAAAAATAAACGTATCTTTCTGTTCGCGCGTCGCGATTATCGCATAAACTTATCGAATGAGCCGCGCAAATCAAGCAATCTCTATCCAATTTTTCGTTTGCTTAACGATTACATCGCGTGCGGATTAAATCATTATTACGCTGCAATGTTCTGTACACTCATTTGCACAAATACAATTTTCTTTTTCTATTACGTATTGTTACATCGATTATCACGTTTTACTCTTGTTGGTTTGTGAATATATATGTATATTTTATCCTTAATGAATATCCAGCATATATATTTTAGGATTGTAAGAGCATTATTGACGTAATATTGCTCATTGCAATATTATTGTAAAATATTATATAATAATTTCATAGTATCTTATTTTTTGAGAACACAAACGTAATCTGCAATTAATTTCTAGATAGCTTCATGCAATCAGCATAATGCTGAAATTTATTTCATTATATTCAGAGTAGAAACTGTATTATACGACTGTATACGAAATGAAAGTAAATAGCTTCCGGAGGCAGCTGCAGTCGGTCCTGCGTATGAACGGTTCCTGATTTGGCATTATGTTAATATCTCGGTAGGCTGGGTCGATCCGCTTATTATTTGGCTTTGCTCAGTTATCTGCTTAATTGGCTCTCGATTTAGATCACCCGAGGGCTTAGGGCTTAAGTGAGTAATATTCGAGATTGCCTTTATGTTGAGTATATTGCCGAATAAAAATAGTCAGAGGACAAAGGAATTACAAGAAACGAGCTTTTTGTTCCATAAAGCTTTGTGTTCACGTGGATTATGGAATTAGAGAAAATTAGAAGCCATTATTTCTATGGAATATTTTATCATTTATGTTGAAAACAATTGACTCGACAAGAATGTACACTTTTCATTGATTCATTACTTAATCTTTTTCTTTACTATGAATATAATCATCAGAATCATGACGTATATATTGAAATAATGCAATAATTCAAAAGTTATCCATCTAGTAAATGCGAAGCCATTTATAATGGCTAGTTTATACCCTTGATACCAAATCTACATCAATGCGCTACTGAATGTGGCCACAGTTTTACATAAAATTGGCATTATGCGACCCGTCGGCGATCCGGCGGGAATTTCATCGTGCGCAGTGAATTTAAGGACCTACTTTGCACCAGCAAATATCAAAGAAACGATCCGGCATTCCGGACTCTTTCGGGTGAGCCAATGTTTGCGCAGCTGAGTCGTACGTAACGAATTAAACGCTCTCTAGGAAACCGCTCGAACGCGTTACAAGCCTCTCTTACTCGCGAGGATGATTTAATGCCGCGGATTTAGATCGCGTATTTCAAATGTTCCGCAAACCAAGAATCGCAGATCCTTCTATTCCGTCGGAATTTAGCGATCATCTCTTTCTCTTTCCGGATATTTCAAATATTAGACCAACGACGAATAATATTCATTCCGTGAAGCTCTTATTTAAAATGTTATATGGTATGTCCATAAATGGGCTATATTAATTTCACGCAAGCATTATCTCTTTTTAAGATAAAGTAATCTTTCAACACAAATTTATTGAAAAATTACGACAATTGCAGAAGAAATAAAACTATGTGTAACATAATGTTTTCTATAGTATGCAAAAAAGTGTCCGTACTTTTTCTTTAGAACATTATTTTTAAACGGAGACAAGACAAGTAATAGTATTTGAAATAGAAGACATAAATATAATTTTTCATTATTATAATTATTTTCCCTATTAAATTATCATTTAAAATTATACAAGAAAAAATATTTAAGATCAATGCAATATTTAAAAATTGGAAATATTATAATTGAGACACTGAAAAAATTGCAAATAATTAAAATTATTATTTTAAATTAATAATTTTAATTATATAATATATTATATATAAGTTTGGAATATTCTCATTACTGCTGTCAAGCAATTGTATTTTATTTCTTTTTGCGCGCACAAATGCCCATCTGTTCACGCAAATTTTCTCGCGTTCAACGAGCATCATTACACGAGCATCTCTCTATTTCCTCCTTCAAGAATCGATCGTGACAACAAACGTATCGGGGATGGCATACTTTGATAGTGAATTCTCGAAGCCTCTATGTCGTGAGAGCGTGACAAGAGAGAAGTGAGGTACTATCGTCGTATGCAAGTTCGATCCGGCAGGCGACGAATTGAAATCTTGATTTATCGTAGGATATATATACATAGCCGAATCTTCGTTCGAATTGTGCATTGACTCAAGAAAAAGCGGCATAGCGGTAAAAAGTTTTGTTTCAGAAAAAAAAAATTATTAATTCTCAATCAAAGTTGAATATTGGTATTTTTAATGAATTTATAAGTGTTATAATTAAAATTATTTACGCTATATATTATAATATAGAAAAAGAACAATATATCTATTATATTTCTGTATATAGAAATTAAAATTTGATTTTTATTATTAAAACAGCACATTCTCTAGTTAGCAAAACCTGCTTCTTTTTGATGATACATACAAAGGAATAAAGTAATATATAGTTTCCTGAAAAAATACATTTTAAAATCTTAATATACAAAAACCAAGTGCCATATTAAGTAAATCGAGTCGATTAAATATCCCTTTTGACGTTGAAAAATTCTATTAAAATTCATATAAAGAATGCAAATTTTATACAATATTACATAAGATTACGTATATTGTTATATACTTCTGTGTGTGTGTGTGTGCATGTCTGTGTGCGCGTTTTCTTTAGACACCTTATATATCTGCTAACGCAAGGTTGAATTTTCCAGTCAGTGCACCTTTCGTCACGAAAAAGCGGGAGATGAAAGTACTCATGCTTAAAAGACACCCAGCGATCTAGTGACATACGTAGGATGATGTGCGATCCGCCTTTGCTACTATGTAAAAGCAGGCAAAAGATTTCGTTGTGACGAAAAACGCGCGGAACGAACAGGTTGCATTCATAGGTATGCGGCGGATAAAATTCAAAGTTGATATGATGTTAAATCTTTCTGTCAGAGGTCGAGTGAATTCCACCCTCTCACTTCGAAATGAAATCTGCGACGGGCTTCATTCTTTGAGGATTTTTGAATTGATTACGCGCGCGTTTTTTTTTTTTTTCTAAACTTCTTATGTTCAATTTATAAATCGGGAATCTTGCTCTACATAAAATATATTAGAAGATATATATAAGCGCATTAATTATATGAATAAAGAATAAATAGTTCTTAAAACGAATGCAAAAATTAAGGACAGCTATTTATAATTAGTCTCATTTGTAATAAATCAACTTAAATTAT